AAATAATGATTTAAATACTTGCAATCATCAATTTATCTACAGTATTGTCAAACACAATGAAAAGCTAATGAACGCAATGTTATAACAAATACTGTATTATTATTAACAATACTGTATGTCTATAATTTAAACAATTACAGATAATATATTAATAAAACATTATTTGATTACTATTTTCACTACACATTTCAAATAAAACTCTTTTTATATGACATATCATATGAATTTGAGTTTATGTTAAACTGTAAGCTAATGGCACTCATGAGATACAAACGTAAATATATAAATGACAAAACTTAACACAGTTTTACTAAATATTAGTTCACAACTCATTCAATATATGAAATCACTGTTTGACACAAAAGTATTTAAATTTTTTACAATTTAAAAGTCTTTTGTTTGTATTATGAGATTAAAACATATGATAGGAAGCGTTGGTAAAAGTCTATATTTACAACATATTCCCGCAATATATCCTCCCATTAGTTCACAGTACAGTATTTTATAAAATTCCGGCAATATTACAATTACTAATAAATAGGTTAATCTAAATTGTATAAACATCTGTGAACCATATAAAGATTTAGTGTAACATGAATATTTTTAAATGATAACAATCCTATATAAAATACATAGTCTAGCTCACTAATTATGCACAAAATAACTAGTAAATCTAATTTATTTGAAACCATGTACTTATAAATATATTTAACTGCAACTTCTCCTACCAAGTGGTCACTATAGGTAACACAAAACATTTATTTGATAAATACAGAAAAATAGTTACAAATAATTGCATTATAATGTCCCCCATAACATTTATGATATATTATATTAAATACCATATACAGTAGAGTAAGCGAAAATAAATAATATTAATTTGCCACTAAAATGAGTAACATTATTTGTGACCAGTGCCACTGAGTGTTTACATTGGAAACCTAAACAATTATTTGGACTCATATTGTTGATTGCATTTGAAATTTAAACCACAAAAAAGTTTTTATAACATTTGCTTTTAACCATTTGAACGACCAGTATATTACAAAGTGGTTCATTAGCAGCGAACATGACAATCAACTGATGGATACCATGTGTTTGTAAATCGTTATTAACATCATAACAATCATAACAATCATAACAACGAGTGTTGAGGTAATCATCACTTTTAATGACATATTGAGTACAATTCACTGAATGCATGAAATTATATAATGCATACATTATTCATGCTGTATTTGCATATTTAATTAGCATGGCTAATTGTGTACCCCCTGAGAGGGTACACTATATGCTTGGCAAGGTCAATTTGACATGTATATGACAATCACAAATAACTCACAAAACTATTTGTATGGACAGGTATATGACAACCCCTTTGCCCTCAATGTCACAACCAGTAAAAGCGGACGATTCACAGCCATCAGTGTCGGGCACCGGTAGCTGCAAATACTGCGCCAAAAGCCACGGCGCTGGTAGTATCGAGAGCTGCAGCGGTGGCGGCGGTGGCCATGGATTTCACGAGCAGTCGATCGACAACTCGGTGAAAGTGCTCGAGAAGATCGCCGGTCTGTACGCCGAGCGCCTCCTATCGGACATCGTGTTGGAGGTGAACGGGAAGCCGTACGCCTCCCACCGGCTGATCCTATGCGCCTCCAGCGACGTGTTTCAGGTGATGCTAATGAACCCGAATTGGACGGAAAGCCAGGAGAAGACGATTATCCTGCAGGAGGCGCCCGAATGTGCGAAAGTGTTCCCGGAGTTCCTGAAGTACTTGTACACCGGCATCATTAACATCAACCACCAGCTGGTGCTCCCATTGGTCGCGATGGCCGACAAGTACAACGTCCGCGATTTGGTCACTCTGTGCGTGCAATACATGCGCCGCCATATGGTGTCGGCCACCCGTCACAACCTACTGGTCCGGTGGCTCCAGTATATGCTTCAGTGCGGACACGACGGGGTCACCGGCGCCTGCATTGAGTACGTGTCGGCCAACTTTGAGGCCGTCGCCGACACCGACGACTTCGCGGCCCTCGAGACCGACATTTTGATTCACTTCTTGCGGAAGTCGGAGCTCGTGGTGAGAGACGAATACCGATTGCTGCAGATTGTGACCAAATGGTTGGTCGCACAGGAGGTGAAGCTACGGCTCGTGGGCGACGAGTTCTTCGACTCAATGGTTCCGCTGGTGATGTCGTTCGTGCGCTTCCCGATGATGGAGCCCAACCAGTTGGCGCACCTACTCATCAACCCTCTCATGATTCGCTACAAGGAGTTCTTCGTGCAGCACATGTCGCTCGCAATGCACTACCACACCGACGGCCTCACCGACGACCTGCGCGCCAAACTGCCGGCCCTCTCGTTCACACCCCGGCTCTACACCACCGAGAAGTGGAGCTCTAGTCTAGTGATT